CATTCCCAGGGCTGCCAGCAGGGGAGAAAGAGGGCAACTGCCCCATGGCCCAGCGATTAAAAAGGAGCCAGCGTGCCCAGCTGCCGTTACCATGGCAATGGCAGCAGCCAAAGCCCTGGGCCCTTTAAATCGCCGCCGGAGCACCGGGCACCGCGCTCCAGCGGTGCTGAGGGCTGGCTGGGTGGGAAGAGTATGGTGCAGTCTGGGTGGCACTGAAGGCTGGATACCCCGCCCCTTTCGGGAGTGCAGAGCCTGCTCCCCTTCCCCCCAGGGCCCTGACAATTCTGTTGGCTCCCCCAGCCATGCCAGCCTCTGCCCCATGCAAGTTGCACCAGTGAACATGAATAGACCCTTGTGCAGAGGGCAAACCTGACAGCCAGATGCTCCAGACCGTTTCCCACCCCAGTCAGACATCCCAAAGGGAGCCCCTTACATGGCTGTGCTCAGTGGGAGCTGTAGGCCGAACACCTTACCTTTATCTGAGGGCACAGGGCGTAACAGGTGAGCTCAAATCGAATCTGGTCATTCCCCTGAAACAGAACAGAGGGGAGATTAGGGTTGGCCCCGACGCCTGGCTGAACCCCACCCTGAGTTCAGACTTAGGGGGAAGGACTGTGATCTTGGTCCTCACCCTTCCAGCCATGTACGAAGGAGCCAGCCTACATGGAACAAGCCTGTGGTCCCCACTCGGAGCTGAGGCTCAGCCTCCGGCCCTTGCTCGGTATCCCTGCTGGGGCCGAGGTCTAGGGCCACACCAGCCATCTCCAGAGGCTCAGGCTTGGACGGAGAGGATGTGAGAACATGAGGGCACAGCAAAATCAGAGACGCTGTGTGGATTTCCCAGCCCATAGCAAGAGCAAGTGAGGGGCCCAGTCCCAACCCCACTCAGGGCCAATGACCTTCCCTGGAGAAGTCCATAGAGGCCAAAGCCCAGCAAGACCCAAGGGGTGGTGAAGGGTTAAGGGAGGGACTGGTCAAGTCTGAGGATCTGTCCCATCTATTCTGCATCTTCTGCTCTACTCTCGGTAAATGAAACAGGGTGGAAAACTGCTTGTTTGGATTGACCAAGGGAAACTACAAAACTGGAAATGTTCCACCAGGACTAGGAAATATGCAGTTATTGGACAGAAAAGGGAAAAACTGACTTGGAGAAAGACATGAGAGTGGGTCTGTCCAGGGCCCCTTTCCCCCGATATTTCCTGAGTAGGTAGCCACTAAGTACATCACTGTCAGAGCAGCCAGAGAGACCCAGACAGTATCGGTCTCCAATTAACCTCCCCTCTCCGTCAGCTCTAACCCAGCTGGTTTAGAATGACTGGAGGAGATGAATACTGGCTCTGTTCCACGTCGCAGCCACATCGCCCCGTGCGTCTCTGCCCCGGCACAGTGTGGAGCCAGGAAAGTCAGATATGGCCTCGCAACTCACTGTTGTGGCCACGTCACTGGCAAAACACACGTGTGCTGGCACATGGATGTGCAAGTCCACTCAAAGATTGAGGCACCTGGATCCCCTGCCATCGCATCCAGGACCTCAACTAGGGATGTGCCACTCAAAGATTGAGGCACCTGGATCCCCTGCCATTGCATCCAGGACCTCAACCAGGGATGTTAGATATCATGTAATTGAAACCTTACAGGTTACACGACTATTCGATAGTCCCTGGGGATGGGGCTGGCAGTCAATGCACTCCTGGCCCCATCCCCAGGGAGTCGCTTGCTACCCCTTACTGCTGCGTCTCTATAAGAGGCAGCACAGCAGGGTGGCAGGTGGGAGCGGGTCCGTGAGGGGAGCCAGTTTAAAGACCAGCTGCCTGTTGCCCCACATTGCTGCCTTGATACAGAGGCAGCAGGGCAGGGTGGCAGCAGCCCCTGTTCGTGATGGTCTAAGCTCCTCGCGGACAGGGGTTGCTGCCAGGGACCAGCCTCTGTCTAGTAAAGACCTGCTAAATCAAACACCGAGGGCGCCCCTGTTGCTAAATCAAACACTGAGGGCGCCCCTGTCGATGCCAGCACTCATCGATTCACAAGGAGTTAAGGGAATCTTTTGCTCCCATCCGTCTCCTGTTGTGGAGACTGTGCTGAAGGTCAAATTAAGGTGCGTTGACTCCAGCGACACCCCCGTGCTTCTGCCTCTCTTAACTGTCCTCAAGGAGCCTCCTGCTCCTAGAATCCTGGCTATTACACAGGTAGCTAGCTTGAGACAAGCGCAGGTGGGAAAGGCATTAGAAATGGAGGGCTTGTCTACATGGGAAAATTTACCAGCAGTCCTATACCACTATCATTCCCAGCGGGTGTGCTCTTTGGCCATGTCTTCACTACCAAGAACATCGATGCTGCAGTGGTCGATCTTCCAGGGTTTGATTTAGCAGGTCTAGTAAAGACCTGCTAAATCAAACACTGAGGGCGCCCCTGTCGATGCCAGCACTCATCGATTCACAAGGAGTTAAGGGAATCTTTTGCTCCCATCCGTCTCCTGTTGTGGAGACTGTGCTGAAGGTCAAATTAAGGTGCGTTGACTCCAGCGACACAATTAACATAGCTGGAGTTGCACATCTTAATTTGACCTTCCAAGTAAGCATAGCCACAGCCGCAATGTAGCTTAGGAATAACCTTTTTTTGGTTTAGCTTGGGTCACTTCCAAAGCAAAGCAACACTAGTAAATTGCCCCATGTATTCAAGCCCTGAGACAGATTCCACATGTGTAGCTTGAATTCATCCTGACTCAGCCACATCCCATATCACAGGATGGGCAATCGACCGGTACCAGCATCCTGCGGTGGGTGGGGATGGCCGCACAGCACCAAGACGGTCTCACCAGGGCAGGGACAGGGGAACAAGCCTTCACATCCACTTAGACAGCCGCAGTGCCCACAGCACAATACGCTTCTTTTACCCAAAGCTCTGGGGTTTATATGTTACTTTCAAAGGCCAGATTTGCCCAGCTCGCTGAGTTTCCCCGCACACACCAATCCCTTGGCCAACCCAGTCCTTGGGTGCCACATGCTGCTGCAGTCCCCCATTCAGCCTAGTACAGCTGCTTGGCTCTAAACCAGACCCACCCTTGTGAAGGGCCCTTCCCTGAGGACGGGGTTATTCCTAGGAGCCCAGGCAAGAGAGATGGCTGAGGATTTGGACACCCCTTTGTAATCACTTTTTGCCAGCAAGCCCCCTGGAAAGGGCTTCCCGACGAGGCCAGGAACGCTGGGGAGGGAGGGTCTGAGCAAGTCTGGGAGCTATTAGAGCTTCTAAGGCTACGTCTAGACTGCCGCTTTTTTTTGGCTAAAGGTATGCAAATTGCGCTCCGCGATTTGCATATCTTTTTCCGATAGTTTTGTTGGAAGAGGCTTTTCTGAAATGTGGCCTGTCTACCCTCGGCCAAATTTCGGAGAAATCTCCTCTTTGGGAAGAGCCCTTCTTCCTCATGGCACAAGGAAGACAGGGCTTCTGAAAGAGCGCATCTGCTCTGCCGCCAAAAATGTCAGAAGAGCAGACGCGTTCCTTGGAGGTATCCCGGAAAAACCCCGTAGTCTAGACATAGCCTGAGACTCTTACCTTCTGAAGAGGTTACACAGAGTCAGTACTAGGGAAGGAGACGACTCCGATGAGGTTCCTCGCCATGCTTACGTGCATGATCCTAATTCTATCCGTCCTCAGGGGGAGACCTTGAGAAGGATCCTTGCTGCTGCAAAGCCACAGGACTCTCTGAGGTTGCCCTGGCCTTCTGCCTCCATCCTGCCTGGCTGTTGTCAGCGTCTCTCTGTGAGGTCACCACCAAAACACCACTTTCCCCCAATAAGCTGAGGCCCTGCAACAGCCCTTTGTGATGTCACTGCCTCAACCACTCCTCCCCTGCTGGGCTGGTGTCCTGACCCTGGTCAGCTTCTTTGGTTTTTTCCCTGGATCATCCCACTTACTGACAGTTGAGTCTGGGGACCCAGCTGGTTGGACAGTAAATCGCAGAGGCTGCTCCCTATGCCACACTCAGATCGTTCTGTTACTGCTCTCAGCTTTTATTGACCTCTCCGCTTGTATTTGGTCCCCCCACACGTTACCAGCAGGGATTTCATAGGGGCTTCCAGGTCACTGTGTTGAGAGCCTCTTCAGAACGCTACAGTCCAGAGGAAAAGACCATCCAGCCCTCTGTTACATACAGGCTAAGTGCAGAACCCGTGCATGCGAGCCGTGTTATCCAGACACTCTGAAAAAATATATGGGAGTCAGCAGCTTACATGCACCACCATCCTGTAATGTAGGCAGGCCCCAATTGTAAAATGGGGACAATAAATGACACCAAATTGTCTCTGTTTCTAGGTACAGAACAGAGGCACACAGAGCTGGAGGGACTTGCTCATTGTCACAAAGGCAGGGAAATGGCAGGTCTTCTGTAGCATCCTCTGGCTGGAAGTGGTTGCCAGCTCATACAGGGGTTACAGTTTTGTTCAGTGGCTCCCAGCCTATACAAATTGTCCCCGCACTCCTGGCTCCTGGTAAGTTGGGTGGTTCAGGTTGAAGCTCTCACTGGGCTATTCTCTGACGTATGAGCGCAGATGTTTCATGGCGCTGACGGTAATTCTGCTTGAGCAAGTTAGGTCACTTTAATAGTTGTGAAAAACCCCTAGTTCCTTGCAAACTCTGTACTTCTTCAAATCAGGTGCCTTCATGTGGATTTAGGTATCTAATTTAAGAACATTGGAATTGTGAGCCTGGATCAGAACCGGGTCCAGCTAGCCATTCTCCTGTCTATGGCAGTGGCCAGTGCCAGCTGCTGCAGAGAAAGGTGCAACAAATGCTGCAGTGGACAACTATTGTGTAGCTTGAATTCATCCTGACTCAGCCACATCCCATATCACAGGATGGGCAATCGACCGGTACCAGCATCCTGCGGTGGGTGGGGATGGCCGCACAGCACCAAGACGGTCTCACCAGGGCAGGGACAGGGGAACAAGCCTTCACATCCACTTAGACAGCCGCAGTGCCCACAGCACAATACGCTTCTTTTACCCAAAGCTCTGGGGTTTATATGTTACTTTCAAAGGCCAGATTTGCCCAGCTCGCTGAGTTTCCCCGCACACACCAATCCCTTGGCCAACCCAGTCCTTGGGTGCCACATGCTGCTGCAGTCCCCCATTCAGCCTAGTACAGCTGCTTGGCTCTAAACCGGACCCACCCTTGTGACGGGCCCTTCCCCGAGGACAGGGTTATTCCTAGGAGCCCAGGCAAGAGAGATGGCTGAGGATTTGGACACCCCTTTGTAATCACTTTTTGCCAGCAAGCCCCCTGGAAAGGGCTTCCCGACGAGGCCAGGAACGCTGGGGAGGGAGGGTCTGAGCAAGTCTGGGAGCTATTAGAGCTTCTAAGGCTACGTCTAGACTGCCGCTTTTTTTTGGCTAAAGGTATGCAAATTGCGCTCCGCGATTTGCATATCTTTTTCCGATAGTTTTGTTGGAAGAGGCTTTTCTGAAATGTGGCCTGTCTACCCTCGGCCAAATTTCGGAGAAATCTCCTCTTTGGGAAGAGCCCTTCTTCCTCA